AATTCTCGTCGTTGTCGTCAGTGGAAGAGAATAAAGAGGAGGAGGAGGAGGTGGTGGAGGAAAAGACAAGATACTACGTACATCACGAAACACGGGACAGAGAAAGAGGGAGACTTTTATTTCTGATGTAAACAAAATCTCTTGACGTACATCGTTACACGTTCTTTTCTATCTACGTAGTCGTCCCTTTTCTTTTCTCTTTCTTTTTACCAGCTCGCGAGAAAGTTCATTATATTCTGCTTTACTCCATCGTTTATAAATCATAGAGAGTAGAAAGAGAAAAAGAGAGAGAGAGAGAGAGAGAGAGAGAGAACACTTTGCGGTTTGGCGAGGATGGTTAGAGGAGATAATGGCACGCATTTATTACCGAGGAGACGAAAGAAGAAACTTTGTTGCTAACCGATTTCTTTCCGCCTTCTCGCTCTTCGAAAAATCATTGGAATGTAAATCGACTTATAATTGTCATCATTTTTCAATAATATTAAAAATGAATGACCAAGTAGATATATACGTATATCACACATACAGAAACACACATGTATATTTTATATCCATTTATATTTATTTATATACGTACATACATATGTATACGTATGTATTTTATATACATATATACATACTATATATATATATATATATATATATATATATATATATATAAATATAGTGGTAGACGATCGATGGAAGGCAAATTCTCGATCGGACGATCGAACCATTCGCCATGGGATCGATTACGTCCGTCGTGACCTTTGATTCTTTAATCGATGACTCGGCGCGCTGAGTGCGAGTCGGGACACCGTGCAACGAGCCATCGACGTAATACTTTTGCAGACACCTGTAGCGCTTCTGCTCGAGCAAAGCATCGACTACCTGTTATTAGCGGGCCACGAGCACGCGACAGACTGTACGACGAACGACATTGTCTCGCTTCGTGGCATAATTAACGCTCGTAGTATCAATTAGTATCCTTTTCGCCTAGTCTCTCGTCTCGTTTCTTCACGTAACACAACTTCGGATACTTGCATATCGTTCAGATATATCACTTGATTTTCCTACGTATAATTTCGATTCGAAAAAAAAAGAAAAAAAAGAAAAAAAGAAAAAAAGAAAAGAAAAAGAAGTATTATCATTTTTTTCCTTTCCTGTGCGACTGAATTAAATGGATTTAAGAAAAATTCGAATGTTTCGAAGGAATTACGAATATGGGTGGTATTGTTCGTGGAATCCACTTGTATGTATATATATATATATATGTACGTTCCCTTTAGCGAAGCACGAACCCACTGACCACCGAGTACATACCAACAGTCGGCAAAACACAGAAAGAGGAAAAGAGAGAGAGAGAGAAAGAGAGAGAGAGAGAGAGAGTATAAGGGGGAAAAAGAAAGAGAGAAAGAGTATGTGAAAGAGAGTGTGAGAGAGAGAGAGAGAGAGAAAAAGAGAAAGAGAGAGAGATAGAATGGGAGACGTTGGAGGAAGGAGGAGGAGGAGGAGGAGGAGAAGAAAAGAGAGCTCGTTCGCGGTTGCAGATGCTGGCGATAACGCGTATAAAAGGTGTATCTACATTTAGTTCGGACAGGCAGCACTTTATTCGCTCGGCGAGCGCTAACAAGTGTTTTCCATCGGTTTAAGCGGCGCTACGGCGCTTTTAGAGACCCGCCGTGGTGCAACCGGTCTGCCGCGAAGTCGCTGGACGCGAGCAAAGTTGGGTGCGAGTATTGGGTGCCGACTTGAAAACGGTCCCATGGCCGGTTTTCGTACGTACGCGCGTAGGTTGCCCAGATAGATGGGTGGGTAATACTGCCGCGTAATTGGGATGTCGGCCTTACTCAAAGAGAGAGAGAGAGAGAGAGAGAGAATAAGGGAGAAAAAAAAGAATGAGAAAGGAGAACACCATAGATGCTTCCTTTTCTTTCTTTTTTGTTGTCGTTTTCTTTTTCTCTTTTTTTTTTTTTTTTGGTTTTCTACTAACACTCGTATTATTGGTTTCACAAATCTTTAAAATCTACGCATCGATCGATTATTTTCCATGAAAGACGAAAGATATCTGAAATGGATCGTGAAACATTTGACGAAAATCAAATTCATTTTGAAAATCAATAGCGACAGCTTACGTATCGTAATAAAATATCGAATGCAAATGTTAATTTCGTAATAGATCGTATTCTTGTTTTTCAAAGAAATTCTACTCTAACTCGCTTCGTTGTATTTTTCAGAACGCATTTGTACGAGAAAGAAAGAGGAAAGAAAAAAAAAAAGAAGAAAAGAAAAGAAAAGAAAGCAAAAGAAAAAGAAAAGAAACAAGATTCCTAAAAAAACTTTTCCCAAGAAATAGCAATAAAGTGAACACGATCGGCAGAAAGTATGGATGAGAAAAGGAGATAAAAGAAGAGGGGATGGACGAAGAGAAGAGCTTAACGCTCGACGTAACACAAGAAATAATACTCGCATATACACGCAAAACGTATATATACACGGACACAGATAGAAAAACACGCGCGTGCATCTATATGTATAAAATATCTGCTCGTTGGATCGAAAAGAGACCGAGGAGAGAAGATTCACGGTCGTGTCCATGGCGTTTAGTTTCTTCTTGCGTCGGAACGCCGTAGATGTTCGCGCGGGATTCATGGCACTCGTCATAACGCAGAAGCTTGGGTACGCTATCTGATTCGCATTCGTTATTGCCTTCGCTGTTTTATTCTTATACTTTTTCTTTTTCCTTTACTTCTACTTCTTCTTCTTCGTCTTCGGTGCTCCCAAGGAAAACGAAATGCTGAACGAAAGAGAAGAGAAACGAGAAAGAGAATGAGAAAGAGAAGAAGACAGAGTAGAAAGAGAGTGGAAGAGCGTTTGATACTTTACAATCGGTGGTTCGCGTGCAGGAAGCATTCGAACTCACGAAGTCGAAGTCGAAGTAAAGAACGAAAGAGAATAAGAGAGAAAAAGAGAGAAAGAGAAAGAAAGAGAGAGAGAGAGAGAGAGAGAGAGAAAGAGAAAAGAGGATCCTAAGTTTGATGGGGGGCGGGGAGGGGGAGAATGCGACATCGTCTTTGGTCTCGAGAGGATCACGATTCGGTGACGTGTGGCTGGTCCCTTGGAAGGATAACGTCATGTATAACCGCATATAAACGTAAACTTTGCCGTCGTCGCTTATAGCCTGTTCATGGGGTCTTAACGCGAATGGAAACGACGAATAATCGCGCCTCGATAAATGCCACTCGCAGTAGTTCCATCCGTTCTGGATCGGACGAGAAGTCTTTTTCAATTGCTATATTATTAATCCGGCTATATGAAATATTAATAAAATTAAAATATCGATAATGGAAATATACGTAGATCATCTTGAAAATGTTACTTTTGTGTTAAAGATGAATTGATTTTTCTTTCTTTCTCTTTTTTTTTTTTTTCCTTCTTGATAAACGTTCTTTCAAATTTACGTCAAATTATTGATTCCCTCGGAGAATGGAATATTTTTTATTACAGCGATCGAAGATTTTCAATCAAGAAGAAAATCAATTCGAAGTATAAATACATTTGAAAATTTTGTTAAACGACGAATATAATAAATCAATAAATTTTGATCATACTATTTACAAAGGATCGATGTATTATAATAATAAATGAAATTTAATATATCCATGTATCGAAGATACGTATCTGGATATATCCAGTTGTAAAGTTTATCCGCGAAGTTCAGTAGTAAAGGAGTCTCTATATACGACGTAGCATATACGATACAGTTTCCTGTTGTACTCTTCTAGTAGCTCTCAACACGGTAGCTACTTTCTCGCTAGGTCCAGGCACAAAGATCTTTGTGGGAACGCAAAGAGAAAAGGATCAACGAACAACCCTTCTCCTCGTAAACAACCCCGATCGAGTACCGGAATCTGACTCGTTCGATCTATACGAGCTCGAGGTTCGATGGCGCTCGAGCGAATCGAGAGCACGTTTGGCTCCTGCCCTCGAATATCCTGAATCGTGTTAGGAACGATCGTGACTCGAGCCATAGCACGTACGACAAGACGAACTTTGACGCTCTAGACGTACGCTTCCTCTATTATCTTACAATTTGATCGCTTTATTTTCTATCAGAAAATTTTCTTAATCATTTCTCTATCATTTTAAGGAAGACAAATTGATGATAAATTACGAAGACAAATTTTTAAGAGTTAGAAAGAAACAGAGAGAGAGAGAGAGAGAGAGAGAGAGAGAGAAAGATAATAGATAGGTAATAATGATATGAAAGAAGATAAAGTACGTATTTCTCATTGAATCAAAATTTACTAAAACTTAGATAATATTATCTCTAAGAGTTCTTAACGAGATACGAATTAACATAACTATTTGATGATTGTAATTTAAAGGTAATAAAGCATTTAACGATGCGACCTATTTCGAATCAATTTATTTCCCAAATCGATTCTGGATTTCCTCAGTACCAATAGGCACGAGAAGTATCCATAAGTCATTCTCTCTCTCCCTATCTCTCTCTATCTCTCTCTATCTATCTATCTATCTATCTCTCTCTCTCTCTCTCTTTCTATCTTTCTTCCCACTAGATAACGAGTAGCGACTTTAAGGTCTTTACGGTGTCATACGGGTTTAATGCCTCGCGCACGGTCGCGAGACGTGAGCACAGATAGCGAAGGCGCTATTTAATTAACGATAATAGCTCGACCTAACAAGAACTCCGCGTTCCTTTTCTTTTCATTGTCTCTTCGTGATGCCGCTCAACGTGCGGCACTCGTAGAACGCTCTCCTATCCGCCGTTCTTACGTTTCTCCATTCTCTTCTTCTCTCTTTTTCGAACAACAGTACTCGAAGCTCGGATCCTCTTAATCCCCATCTTATCTCGATATCCTGGCTATCCGTGACTAAGAGTCGACCGATACCAAAAGTCACCTTGGTAAAGGGCGACTTTCGAA